AACAGGTGTAGAGAAAGGGCATGTAATGTAACCTTAGTATATCAGGTAGGTAACTGGAATGGTCATTTGGGAAAAGGACCCAAGTGACCTGGGGAATTTAGAAAGCACTAGGGACACAAAGAATATTTAGTTGCCAGTGTCGAACGTTAGTCAATAAGGCCTCCGTATACAAGGTGATTATGGAAGGTGCAAAATTTTTTATCAAAGAATCAGATCAAAAAATGAGTTATGGTTGGCACATCTGATCGAAGTGGATTCATCCTCCTCTCAAGACAACATTGCTGATATATGTGCTATTTCTACTGAGAAATGTCCATCATGACTAAGAAAAAAAGTGAGAAAGATACATGGCAATCTTTGAAATTAAACTCTTATGCCATATGAAAACTGCATAACCACTATGCCTAAAGCTGGAGCCTCTGGATAGCCAGGTGAATCCAGTCAAATCATGGCTGCCTCTACAGATATGGCCTAAGAAGAAGTGGAAGAGGTGGACACTTCTGAATGTACCGCAGAAGCAGAGATCAGGATGTAGATACCAATCAGGTGCTATCAGTAGACCCAGACAATGGGTTGAAACAAACCTAGTTAGTACCTTGGGTAACATATGAATAGGAGTGAGGGCCTAGAATAGTAATCATGTCCTGTTCTGATGGAATGCATCCACTGCCAAAGTCTGAAGATGAGGTAGTGGAGACCAAATTGCCAGAAGTTAGGTGTTCCAATGAGATGTCAACCCAAGAGGTTAACAGAGTTGCAAAATGAGAACCAGACCAACAGAACCTTGCGATGCAGCACCTATTCTGTTGAGAAAATCTGTTTGGGTTGAGAAAATCGACCTGCTAGTGCAGTCACCACCCGTGGAACATGGCAAACTAGTAGGGTGATATGACAGAATTGGTTCCAAGAAAGAAGGTCCAATATTTGAAATCAAGGTGCCCTGGACCAAGTGCCTCTTTGATGAGAAACACAATACACTACCATGGAAATGTCAGTTTAAAGCCTGACGATTTTCCACATAATAAGCCCAGACTATGAGGCATTACCTTTGGAAGAACAAGAAGGACTAAAACAACATGTAGGGAAGCCTCGTCATCCGTGTGTAGACCCTGGAATTCCTGACTGTTGGTACATGCACCCCATCCCTGAAGTGAGGACAAGGGGTTGATGTAGGAACCCATATCATAGTAGCATCCCAACTTAACAACCCTTGAAGATAGAAGATTGATCCTGACTAAGGAAAATGAGGAAACCAGGGATGAAGTGGGAGAAGGAGAGGCGAGTAAGAGTCGGGTTTCTTGTTCCATAGTGTGGAGCCAAATGTGAGTCAGCTGAACCTGACTTAGAGAAGAGATGAAAAATAAAATATCCAGAATGATGACATATAGAATTAGAGCAAGAATAAATGTCTCAGCTCTGAGAATGAAGCTTGCTTTGGTGGTTTCTGAAAGTAGAATCCGGGTGCGCTGTTCTGACAATAGATGAGATGGTGCCAGCAGTAACCAGTCATCTATGGAATGGTGTGTGCACAGAGCTATTGGATGGAGGTGATGATAAAAAAACTTGTATGATTCAGCAGAACTTATGAAAAGCCTGTGCTAGTTCAAACGTAAAAACCCTGAATTGCAGTGCCTGACCCTTGTGCACAAAAAATGACGATAACGGTGGGACACCACAACTATGACCTGTGCAGATAGGAGCTGAGTATGGCAAACTTGGACATCTACAATCCCAGTAAAATATGTCAAGATAGATTGAAGAACGAGTAACTTATGAAGCTTGGAGAATTGAGGCATTGATCTAGACAAAAAAGATCAATGATGGGACCCCAATCTCCTGTCCAACAACTAACAAGAATATAAAACCCGTAAGAGCTAGCATGACTCTCTCACTACCCCCAGACCAGCAAAACACTGATAGCCCTAGAATTAAGTTCCAATTCATGAGGATATGCAGGAGATGGAAATCCTACAGGTTGGGTGGATAATAGTAGTGAGGATCTGACTCAAGGACTTGTAGTGCTCCTGGATCCATGGGTAAGGGTACCTCATGTCCAGAAATACTTGGGAGTCTAGCCCAAAAGACCCTGAAGCCATACCATACAATAAACACCAATGCCTGGTGGCAACTTGACCGAACAGCAGAATCTGTGGATATAGACAGAATATATTCTGGGTACCAATGTGCCAAAAAGCTAATGCCAGGGGTTGGGACTGTCAAATAGGGGAAGAACTAAGAGCCCCTGTAGGAGCAAATGAAATTAGAGATGCTAATGACAACAGAAATATATGTAGAAGCCGAAAGTCAAACCAAAGGACATGTTAACAATGGTTTCAGCTCATCATCAACGAAGGTGGTGAACCTGAGATGCTTCCAACAAGTGTAATATCAGTAAAACAAAAGGTTACAGTAGAATTGTAAGTCCATAGACATACCCTGTCCCACCAGGGGCATTAATGTATTGAGGTGAACTAAAAACTCCACCATAGAGCCCCAAAATTCAAGGAGCAGATTGATTATGTGAGAGTCAGAATATGCTTTCACCTGGCGGTGGTAGGTTAAATCACGAAGTTCTGACAACCTTGTTGGATAAGGTGTAACTGTCCCTTCACTCAACTGATAAGTAAACCTCCCTACATGAACCACAATGTCTGTGGAAGGAGATACAGTTAACATTAGCTCCCAGGCTTTGCAGCCCTCAAGTAAGGTGCATGCTTAAAACCAACTGGGGAAAAACCAAAACATCACATGCTCAATGAACCAACTGAAGAAAACGAATCAAAGGCAGCTTATCCCAAAGTGACCTCCTTTTTGTTTAGTATTTCATTTAAAGACTGAGTTGATTAACATTGATTGGAACAACATTTAGTCAGGTAAGTTTGTTTTGTGAGAGTAAAGTAATGTTGGGCCATCTGCTATGTCCACTGTAGGAAGCAAACCCCAGATTCCAGCACTGCAAGCCCTGAAACTCACCACAGTCTACAGGAGGACTGAAAAGCCAACAGACAAAAAGAAGACACAGGAAAAAGTGAATATAAATTCTGTCTAGAATGTCAAGGATCACCCTCAATTGAAGCCTCAGAGCCTCCTGAAGGAACACCATGGAGCCGAATATATGTGCCCATCTCATTACGAATAAGTTCATTGATAGTTTCAACCGAGAGTGACTCCCCACCAATTGCGATGCTAGATATCAGAGGTGGGATAGGTGAGACCTGATTTGCTTCTGTGTCAGAAATAATAATCAGAGAATGCATACTGTAAACTGGTTGGCCAATTGAGTTTTTTTTCTTTTTTTAAGATTTGTCAAAATGTAATTGTATACAAATCAACTAGGCAATGCAAAAGTCACAATCAAGGATGGTAACTACTGCAGCAATTCTTTAGGAAAACCCGTGTCTAAACGGTTTGTTGAGAAAAAGTGATAAAATTATCTAAATGATGTGCTTATATATAGTACCAGGATAAAGGGCACATTGATTTAGGGGGAGAGTATTACAAGAGAAATATCGCCAAGGGCAATTGAGTGGAGTATAAAAGACTGGAGCAAGCAAGAAAAAATCTTTGGGGCTTGTTAAATTTTTAACCAAAAAACTTGCCAAGTTTTAATTTGTTTATTTTATGAAAAAATCAGACCATTGCTTAGATGGGCAAAGAAGAAACCCTGAAGGTCGAGTAATAGCTATAAGTGTCAGCGAAAGTAAGTATGTTTTGGAACAATGTTTGATTTTTTATATTTTACAAAGAGTTTCTGTTTAGGGTTAATTCAACTATATTCTGGGTTAGTACTAGTATTAGTAGCACTGTGCCACCAAATCCTCTGCTACTTATCACCAGTATATGCCAAATTGTATCCCTGTTATTTCTAATTCTAAGCACAACAGCAGGTCAGAAATAAACAAACCTATTGACTTGTCGAAGTTACCCAAAGGGAGTAAAAGAAAGATGACATTTAATCAGAATAGCTGTACCTCTATGTTTTAATTTAAATCTGAATGTTAAGTTTTTTGTATGAAATGTATGTGCTTCACTGTGCAAGGGATAAGATTTCAATGAGGTGGGTTTAGGCACCAAAGTGGCACATTTTTCTCACCCAACCATGTCTATCACAATTCACTATTTGAAGTGTTCTTTTGCTAACACATGCAAGTACTTCTGAAGTAATGAGATGATAAAAACAAAGATAAGCAGTTTTGTCACTAAAATTCACCATAATGTAACTTGTACAAGTGAACTTGACTATTATCATGTATAATGATAATGACTTGTTGATGTACATTATCATTATTCTTACTCACGTCTTTGTCTTGTTTAAACATGCTTTCTTCAGCTCTAGCAGCCACTTTCCCAATGCAGATTAAAGCAGCTAGCCAGTTTGGTTATGAGTCCAGCATTAATTTATTGGAGAATAAACTTTCTTTTCAATTGTTCACATATGCTTGCTTATTTTTCCTTTGTTGCCCATGTTTGATTTAATCTTTGCTTAACATTTCCTCAGCCTGTTACAAATAATGTGTACTTATAACTTTTTAATTTGCCTGAATATCATAATAAAATAAATTTCTTTTATTGCACAAAATCTCCAAACATAATGTTTCTGATGAAAAATATTTGAAAACACTGATACAAATCAGTAACAATGTATAGAAAAGGTTTCCAAAAGTATATGATGAAAAAAAAAGCAATCTGCAAAAAAGGTCATTTGTACCCTTTCAATGTTTTACAGAATCTGTCTTTAAAATGCTAGCGATCTCAAATATCTTTAAGATGATATTTTGAAAATGTACTGTGTGCCTTTTTGATTAATCCACCATAAATCCTACTGATCTCATGAAATGTAGAAATACTTTATGGGTTCTCAATCATGTAGTTACTTTATGTTTTCAAAAGTGTTTAGGGAAGATTCATAATGTCATTTTTTATAGTGAATTTTTCTACAATTATTTATCTACTACCTTGTAGAGATGTCAAGTACTGATATTCAAATGACCTATTCTTACCTAATGGTGCCAGGAACCTCTGCTCCCCTTGAAACTGGGCCATAAGTTGGTAAAACAAAGCGTCCACCGGAGGTCTGAGTACCATCTTTTAAAAATGCTGATACCTATAAACAATATTGTAGAATAAATGTTTTCTAAAACAGAGAGAAAACACAAAATTAACTTCTAATTTATAATAAACTCTGACTTTCAAACTAAATATTGTAGATTGAGAGAACCATCATAGCAGCAAATATATTGCTGTAATTAACAAAAGTTGTAATATTTTGCAGTTGCATCTCTTTTCTTGAGGTTATAAATGAGTGATCAATGGCCAAATATTATATTATCTTTGTGACATTATCATAGCTAATGCTATAACAATAAAACCAATCTTGAAAGATTTCATCCTCTTTTCTTTTTCATAACTTGATATTACAGATTTGTCTATGCGATTAAATAATTTATGAAAGCATATGTGTTATACACTTTGATAACTAGAAACCAAAGCTAAGATTTTCTTTAGCATAATGTTCTTAGAATATGAGTAGATGTCTTAAACAGCTTACACTCCAGATGCCTGATAAAAATTTTCAATTCTCATACATCTTTGATTGCTATGGTACATACTGTAATAATATGAATAGAAATATGTGTAAAATTAGATAACTCAGTTATTATATTACTTGATCATGTACCTTTAAACTGTTTTATTAAAGAAAGGTACACATTATTTCAAATATTTGAAAATTATTGGATAAGTTCTAAGCTTTTTATAGTTTGCCTAAGCACTTAAGGTTCAGTTTTAAGCTAACCCAAATATCATTAATCAATTAATTATTACTACTGTTGTTAAACTAAGAAATTTTAATCACATAATATTATATATTTAGAATAGTACTCATGTGACAGATTTACTTTGTAGCTGTTTTCACACATTTGATTTATAAAAAAAAAAAGATTAATACCAGAAGGTAGGATGAGGGCTCCCAATCAAAAGGGGTGAACTACATGTGCAATGTATCAACTCCATGTGGTATGGAATGTGTAACAGGAGGCCACATCAACCATTAAGGTAACAGATCAACTCAAGTGTATGTGTAACGAATAGTAGGAGGCCACTTCAACCAGTTCAGTGACAGATCAACTCCACAGCAGTGTAAATAGTATAAGGATGCCACATCAGCTTGTAAAGTGACAGATCATCTCCAGTGGTTGTGGATATTGTTGAATATGTAAATATTATAAGGAGGCCATGTCATCCAGGAAGGTCATGGATCAACTCTTGTGATATTGTAAATAGTATAAGGAGGCCATGTCCACCAGCAAGGAAAGGATCAACTCCTGTGAAGGCCACATCGCATCTACACCAGCAGAACACCACCGCCCTACTCTCAACCACCCCAGTGGCTTGGAACTGGAAAGTGGCAAGAACTTCCATACTCCACTGAACGAAGGGGGTGAGAATGTGTTGGAGAGTCCAGAGAAATGTCAACACAGGAGACAGTGCAATGGGTGACCATGATAACCTATTTTGAAAAGGAAACCATACTGAGTTATTCACTCAAGGCAATGGCAAGGATGGGCAGCTAACCCCTTCTGCATTAACCATGTCGTCCATGGGTGTTACAGTCATATTTATGAAGCAACTATCATGAGGTAGATAACCTTTAGTGACCTTGTGGAACACCTCATCTCTATGGTAACATTGCAGAGCCATGGAAAAGAGAGCATGAGTAAACATGGCTTACAGTTAAAGAATACCTTGTCAGGCACCACTCACTACAGAGAGGAATCAATGTGAAAAAGAAGGAATAAAGAAAGGCCCCTGTAAAAGAGGAAGAGGAATAAAATTTACTAGTTAAAGTTGCAACAAAATCTGGGGACCAGCCACAGGTGGAAGACAAAACCTTAATGCAGAGAAAAGTGTGATGTGATGAAGAAAATGGGTAACGAACATACGGGGCATGGTCCACATTCCAGCTTGGAGAATCTCCAATAATGGACAACAAAGATGGGAAGTAAGGGAAAATGTGAGAATACAAATTTGATGGGAGGACACATGGAACAAGGTACGGAAGAAAGAAGGTAAAGAGGAGTAGGCTAAATGGACCAGAAGGCAGACCATATTTAAGGGCCCTATCTTTACTGATCACCATTATAGCCATTACATAAACTTTTACACTGGAATAGAGAAAATTACTTTCTAATGTACCCTAGAACACAGACTAAAATTAATTTCATGTTACTATTTTAATATCATTCACCACAAAGGTTTTCAATTAAAATTGAGATCTTTTGTTTGTAGTTTGTTTTCTGTTTTCAGTAGAAGATAGCACATCTGGAAAGCAAAGGTTTCATTGTGGGGTCCTTAAAGGGCTATTTTTCAGAAAGATATAACAGCAGTTGATAATGGTTAAGTCTTGCCAAACATGAGTGACCTAACAGAGACATACTTTCCTAGCTCAGAATATCAAGCAAAATGTGTTAAATCTCACAGAGCTACTAGTGAGATGATCATGCTGCTGACAAACTGGCATCAGCAGCTAATGTTCCTCTGAAGAAGTCTGGTGAATGCCAAAGCTCTAGGTTGTTTGACAGGTTTACTAATCATCACACTGGCATTTGAAGACTGACCAAATGTTGTTCCAGTACCTCTGATACATGATAGAGTGGGGCACAAACATGTCAGCATGCCCTCACAGTTGTTTAGATTGTCACCCAATACTAGCAACTGAACTAACCATGGATAAGTTAGCAGCTCAAGTAGCTGATACATTGAAGCAGGTTTACTGCTTTTGGACTTATGTACCTCTTGTTTGGTCTTCTGTTCTCCAGTTGTATACACAAATTAAAATTTAAGTGTTCAGTGTGGTATGATTGGAAACCATCTTAGTGTGGTACAGTTTAACTGGACCCTGGCAGAGTGGTTATTGCCTCATTAACATGCCCAACACAGGTGTGAATACTCTGCATAATGGATCTGTCTATCAATGGAATATAAGATCAAGGTAATAAATAATTTATGGTATAAAAGCACATGTATATTGCAAGGTTTATTAAAAATAGCGAAAATATGAATGGTCACCAATTATGAACAACTAATAAACAGGAAATAAAATACTTACTTAAACAATCTTCACATCTTGAGAATAGCGGTGCAATTTGTAATTGATGAAAATGACAACAAAATATGGCTAAACAAATTCATAGGAAATATAAAACTTGTTTAAACAGGAATATGACAGGTGACTACTAGTTGTCCCTAATTTTGAAGTGATAATTGTTGTTATAGTACAAAGCTACACAATGGGATCTTTGTGTTCTGACCACCTCATGGAATCGTACCCTGGAATTTGGCACTGTAAGTCTGTAAACCTGAAGTGACAGATCCACTGCTAACTCTTGAGCTACTTTTATCAGACTAAATGCTGGGATTTGACCCTCACTCTTATAATATAGCCATGACTTCAAAAACAGAGCACAATTTTTATTTGGCAGTTAAGGATACTCGAACCACAGTAACTTAGCTTCAACAGCTTGAAATGCTAACAACTAGGCAACATTCAGCCTGACCCAAATGCATTTGTATCTTTAGCTGAATAATATTTTTAACCCCATTTAGTTTAGGAAAAAATAATATTATTAATTTTAAAGAACGAGTACTTAAAAACATAGCCTTATTATTTACAATCAGTAGTTTGGCCCAAACAAGACATGTCAAACAGGCTTTCAATTAACTTCTACAAACTTTACAAAAACAAGTTATTTTAGAAATGATGCAGAATTATCTTATTCTTAATGTATACATTCACATGTTTTGCCACGTCTGATCTCAAGCCACAATTAAAATGACATTACAATTATAACAGTTATGACTATAGTCATTGTACAACCAAACACTTTTGGTTATGTTGAGCTATTGAACATTATTATTTGTTAAAGGGCAAACAGTTAAATTATTTTAACAGTTTTTAGTGTTCATGTTAATGCACTTTTTACAATGTATATACACAATCTTTGACACTGGGATAGAGAAACTTACTTGCTAATGTACCCCAGGAACGGAAACTAAAATTAATTTCAGGTTGCTCTTTTGCTAATGCTAATTGTAACATGCTCGCTTCTCTTTTTAGGCTACATTCAAAGTGCAGAGCAATAAATACAGGGTTTATATTTATCTTTTAGGTTTTAATAACACCTCAGATGTATAATTTAGGCAGTGAAAATAATAATGGTTTACTATTCTTGAACAAAAGTCTTAATGAGCTAGACCTAAATCATGGCCTGGTGACTACTTTACAAATATCATTACAAGAAAAAAAAGAATCATAAAGATGATATATTAGTATAAAATTACCTCCCTCATTCATAATAAATGGTGCTTTTATAGACATTATTGTTTTTAGTGTAATATTTCTGAGTATACTTGAAAAGTATTGCTAATGTACTTTATCTGTCTAGGAAGTTATTGGATGATGTTTTGAGCTGCTAGCACAGATCCTCAACAAGACAACAAAGGCTTAAGATCTGCACTAGCAGCTTGAAACATCATCCACTAACTTCCTAGACAGATGCAGTCCATTAACAATGCCTTTCAAGTACTCTCCTCTATCCAACTCCTCAACCCCCCTTTTCAATGAACATACATATTTTTGCTAAAACATATTTTGGCAGAAATTATTTTTAAAGATGACCTGAATATTTCCTATTTGGTTAGTGAATTGCTAATATCAACCAGATAGGACAAAGTAACTGCCATTTTGATAAGGGTAATAATGTTTTTACTTTGAATAAATCATGACTGCAATTATAAGTAATTAAGTAGACAATTAGCCAATTTACTTATGCATGTTGTTTGAATAGGATAAACATAAAAATAATTTTCAATAAAGATTTCAGTCATCAGGCAAGCTTAACTAAGCTTATCTGATTTGATTTCATTTGATGAACATAGCAAAAAAATAAAACTCATATTTTTACAAACATTGCATCTAGAAAAAACATACTGTATTTATTAAAATTGTAGTTTCAAGAAAATAACAAAACAAGATACCTTTACTACACCATAAGCAGCCTCCAAACATATGACTTCTTTGTTTCATATTACATATATAGTTCTGTG